AATTAAAATTGTAATATTGAAGTTGCAACGTGGTAAGACTCAAATGGTGAATTATGGAGCATAAGAACAAGTGTTATCCAAATTGTAAAGACAAAAAAGCTCTCTTTTCAAAAACGAAAGCTTATATTTAAATTAATTCTTCTCAACAAGCTGCAGAATTCATTAAACACATTTATTTCCTGCAGATGACACCGTTGCATATCGCATCACAGATGGGAAATCTCAAGTTAGTGGAATATTTCATAGATCACAATGCCGACATAGAAGCCAAAGACAAGTTTGAGGTTAGCGTTTACCACAGTTAAAAGAATAAGTAGTAAAAAGAGTAAGAGGATGAGGAAGTAAACATTATAACAAATTTGTTTTAAAAGTTTTATTGAAATTATTTACAGCAAAAAATTTTTAATCAAATACCACTTAAAGATCTGTCTGAAGTGAAGTATTTTTTCATATAACAAAATAGGTGTCAAAACAGCAGTATTCTAATTTGCAAAGGCACAAAAATAGTGCATAACCTAAAGATTTTATCCAGTTTACCTTTACTAATCACATCGTAACGTATAATAACACAAAAATATCACATTGTATTTTCGATATTTTATTCACAAGTATGCCTTTCAAAAATATATTTTTTCTTTACAAAATTTGAACTATTGTTTTCTCAAAAACAGCATTTTTGAATTTTCTCACATTGTAATTTTTTTTTACAATCTCTTGATTGGTTTTTCTATACTATTCTATAAATTTACTAAGCCTGCAAAAAATATTCTTCCAAATGAAGTAAAGACCGATAAAAGAATTTGTCGTAAATGAAAACAGATTACAAGTCGTTATGAGTAAATGACTGTATTGAACGAGAAGTATTTTTTTTCCGCACTTTTAGAATGGTTCAACTTCGCCGTCGGTCAGCTTTTTGATAAGAACCTTATCAGAGTTAAGTTGTTCAATATAGATAAGAATTAGAAAATAAAAGAAATAACAAATCTGAGAAATCAAAAAGCGCAAAATTTTGTTGAAATTAAGCAGAATAAAAAGTCATCGAAGACATACATCAAGTAGCAACGTGGAAAATTTTGTATATTTGAAAGTGTTTAATTTGACAGAAAATTCACTTTTCGTGTTTCTTTCTTCCGCTTTCTTAAACTCTATTAAACAGTAAAATTTAGAAAATATTTTTTGAGATACTGAGTTCAGACAATGTACAGAATGATGCGAAATTACGCACATATATAAGAAATTTTTTAACTATCTATTTTTTTTTTTT